ACATTGTACGTACATCTGCGCTTTGTTGTTTATGATAAGAGAATTCGCAAGAGTCCGGAATTCAGTCAGCGAACGTGCGCGCACTCAACAAAACTGATGAGTTTGAAGGATGATGAGTTTGAACGATGACTCATCTGAACGCTTCTGATTGGCCATTGCATTCCTAAGCTCAACAGATATGTGTGTGATTGTTTAAAATGTGCAACACTGTAAAAACGCCTACAATGAAATACGGTGCAACATGAGCATATCTTAATTTAATGCCGCAATTGACACTGTCTATTCATATTCACTTTGTTAGCAACAGACGTAATAGATTTAATTTGTTTGTGCAGGGGCATTTTTGTCCAATTTAGTGGCATTTTTGCCCCAAGTGTGGTGTTTTTCTCAGTGCATAACTTACATTTCACAGGTATATTCTCCATCTGTACATGTTAGAAAGTCGTGGTAATATTTCCATTGTGCCGTCCATCAGGAATGCATGAGCATTCTGCATGCAATTCTCCGTTAAACATGGAGGACATCAGTGAACGAGCGCCGCCGCGCGCATGAGCGCCAAACAGACAGAGAGCAATAAATAGGAGTGCAATAATTCTGACTAACATATACATTTTTATAAAATATTTGTAGTTGGACAATAAATATGCCATATGTAGAATTTTAAACCTACAAGTAAGTGTATTTTATGACACCAGTAACTGTAAAGTGACTAATGGGGTAATCAAAATATAATGCAATTAATCTGTGCTTTTTTATTTCTTTTCAGTTTTAGTTTAGTGAATTTAACTTTTGCTTTAAAAAGCATTATTTTGTTTTTAGATTGTAATACTACAATATTAGAATGTAATATATGTATATTTAATTCAAATAGAAAAATGAAAAATAGATAATAATATGAAATATAGAAAATACCAAGATATATACCGTATTGCAATTCACCCCCCCCCAAAAAAAAATACAGAGATATGATTTTTTTTGGCCATATCGCTCAGCCCTACAACCTGGGCATAGGTGTCTTGCTTGGTAATGGTTTACTACTTGTGGAAATCAAGTCTACAACCTTCTGGTTACCACACTGAGCTTTAAAGTGATAGTTCACCCAAAAATGAAAATTATGGCATTTATTACTCACCCTCATGTCGTTCCAAACCCGTAAGACCTTTGTTCATATTCAGAACACAAATTAAGATATTTTTGATGAAATCTAAGAGTTTTCTGAATCTTCACAGCAACTGAAATATTTTATGGCTCAGAAACGTAGTAAGGACATCTTTAAAATAGTCCATGTGACATCAGTGGTTCAACTGTAATGTTATGAAGCTATGAGAATACTTTTTGTGCGCAAAGAAAACAAAAATAACAAGTTTATTCAATGTTTTCTTCTCTTCTGGGTCAGTCTCCTCCGGAATTCAGTAGAGTACCACAACGCATGCGTGTGATCCTGCTGACGCAGGAGCCAGAGTTCTGATGTCGAACCCGGATGTGCTGTGGCTTGTTTACAAGCAGAGTAATGCACAGTGTTTAAAGGGATAGTTGGGTGAACTATCCCTTTAAACACTACACTACACTACACTTAGTGTACACTTAGTACACTACTCTTACAGGAAATATAAAAGCTTGAATCGCAATGCCACACTTTAACCACTTAAATGACGATGACTAAATGTAAAATACTGTAGTTCAATTCAGTGTCACATTCTTCAGCGTCAGTCTCAGCTGTTTAATTCTGAAATTAATTTAACATAACAGGCTCGCATCTGACTTCCAAAACCAGCTTCACAGGCCGCAAACATTGAGATGCATGAATCACACGCTGGCATCTCCGTCTACATGCCCATCAGTCTATCACTCACACTCACAGCAGTGCGAGAAAAGGCGCCAAGGCCTCCTCAGGTGAGTCACTGCCAACGGCAGCATTTCAGAAGAACCGACAGAAAACTCTCCACGTGCTGAACGAAACTCAATCTAACCCACGAGACACGTGAGTAGATGATAAAGAACGCAAATTCCTTGATGGTTTCTGACAGTTGTGAGAAACAAATCTATATGGGATGAATGCAACTTGAAAAGACCAGCATTTTAGATGCTTCTTTACCTTAACTAGCAAGATTTACTTTGAATCCAATTGTTGTAATGTATGTATGTATTTTTTGTATTTTACGCTTTAGTGAGTCTTTTACACTGGTCCACTACCTAAATCAGCAACAAACCAGCATAAACAAACTCTAAACTGGCCTTCTCAGCAGGAAGTCCTTCATTACAACATATCAACATCTACATATCAGCAATGCACATCCATAAATTTTAAAGTGTTCTTACCTGGGCGCGTCAAAGCTGTCGTAGGATCCAACGGTGTAATGTCGGAAGAGTCGCTTGGCTCTCTCGCTGCGGCTCTCTGAAAGACGCATACACAACCGCATCCACATCATCATGAGGTTGGGTGTGAGGGTGCAACTACAGCATGACAGGAAAATACATGTCCGACTTGAAGTTTCCCGCTCTGACAGAGCGCGGTGGCCCAAACCACGGTGAGTTTAGCCAGCGTGAAATGGCACAATCGGTCTCTCTCACACTCCAGTAGTGCTGTAAACTATTAATAATCATCATAGCTGCTCTCCCTCTCCAAGTCTGACATCACAACATCACAGAGAAGCTGTGGCAGTCCGACTGTCCTACACCTACATCTGGTACTATCAAAATGACAGCTCCAAGTGTAGCATGGATGTCTTTGATACACATAACGTGTATGTAATATGTGTGCGTGTGCATGAGGAGTCTCACCTGAACGGGACTCCAGGCTGCGAAGAGCCACCTCCTCCACGCAGTCAGAGGGGAACCAGCCCGTGCGCCCACGAACTGTCCCCTCCCAGTAGCCTCCTTCACCCACACTTAACACTGAGAGAATCAAGAGAGAGAAACAACAGTGTGTGTGTGTGTATGAGCAGTAAACACGAAAACACAATATATAGACCAGAATGCCATGACCAGACACATTTTTTAGCCAAGTGGATTTTGAATTACCATCTTTTATATTTAGGTTCCACATTTTTTTTCAGGATGCTTTGATGAATAGAAAGTTAGAACTGCATTTCTCAGGCTGGAAATGACAGTTCAGTTTTTGAATGTGGGTCCCCTGCACACATTTATATAATGAACTATCAAAACTGTTTTTCTTTTTCTTTGGCATGATCTTATACCCCTTAGGGCACCAAAACAGCTAGGACTGCCCCTGGTACCCCTTAAAAAAACATTGGTGCATGACGCCCCTGATACACACTCAGAGCACAATCTCAGGTACACACATTTAATCACAAAATCACATGCAAAATCACTTTTCACTTATGAGTTTACTAATTCATTAAGAAACATGCATATATGCAAGCTATGGTGACATATGTAAACAGAGCGATGGGCTCTAGAATTAAACACACACATACACACACTAGCATGCACGCTGACATTGCTCGCAAACAGACATATACTGACATACCAACACATATCACCAGAATACATACACAGACAACGTTTATCCACACCTGTGAAAAACATACAGAAACAAACAAACAGACATTTAATGGCACTCTTGCTGACATACAGTCATGTATGTACAATACTTTTGGCCACGACTGTACACACACACACTCTCACACAACGCACATCCACACAGAGACACACACACACCCATTCACCTTTGACTTTGTCTCCCTTGTTGAAGCTGATCTCACGGTCCCCCTGGGCCGAGTGCGAGCGAGTGGCCACAAAAATACGGCCAGGCACGGCACTGTAGAGACGCCGCCGCTGCCCGCTTGCTGTGCCCTGACTACTGATAGAGCCAGCGCTGTACAAAGGCACACGTATCAGACAACAGGGTTAACATTCATTTATGCACATTTATTACCGGCTCGACTCATTCAGGTGTCCGTCTTCACAGGACGTGAATATTGATGATAATTTAGGCATAGACTTCGCTGAATGACAAGCTATAACCTTGTCCTTTCTACTCTCTCTTTCTCACCCTTGTCTTCCCCGTGTTTGCCGGCTCCGTTCGTCTCGGTCGCCTGTTCGGCCACGGGACGGGGAACGGGTTCGCGCTCCACGGGGACTGCTGGAGCTACGCAAGGTGGCGCCATGCTTTAGACCCTGACAGATAGACATAAACACGAAGAGTAACAATTAAAGTTTCTGATAACATCTGTGTATGTACTTTGTCCAAACCAACAGAATAAATCCGTATTGTACACACAGTGTCAAACCAAAGGGTCAAGGTTTGGCTGGTCTTCAGTGTCACGTGATCCTTCACAAACTGATTTGGTGTTTAAGATACATTTCTTCTTATTATTAATGTTGAAAACAGTTGTGCTGCTTAATATTTTTGTAGAATATTTTCACTTTCACTTTGAGCAATTTAATGTATCCTTGCTAAGCATAAAAGTATAAATTTTGTTTGAAAAAAAAAAAAAAACTTTTCATACACCAAACTTTTGAATGGTAGCATTTACTCACAAACATAATGCAGGGGCGGAGCTAGAGTTGGCCACCCCACTCACAACTGCTGCTTCTGTCTCTTTTTTCTTGACAAGAATTGAATTTATTTAGATGCAGAGCATTTTTACGAGCACATCAAATGGGAGACCTTTCAGACACGCACTCCAACTAGTCAAGGCGCTAGTCAAACGAGCGGAAACAGTGCAGGTGACAAGGAGCTTCAGTAGAACATCAGTGAACTGCGGTCAGATGAGATTTTGTCAGGTCATATGTCAGTAAAAACAAATTGTCCTGTCCCATCAGCCGTTATACTGTGTTCGTAGCGCATGCTCTTCAATTGCGTGCACAAATGCAGCAGGGCCTGTATCATTTTATATTAAAACGCGAATAAAACTACGGACATGCGTGTCAGATCCGTGTCACATTCAGCACCGACAGCTCTTAAAGTAATAGCAGCCAAATATCCTAATAACCCAGCTGCTGTGATGTCTGTTAATCAAAGAAAAGAAAAAAGAGGAAATCAATAACTTGTGTAGCTTTAAGGATTCATCTATATTTAATTTAGAATTTAGTGTTTGATAACTTTATTTAATTTCTGTATATTTCCTACTTGCTGAAGGGCACAGGTAAATATGACATTTAATATAATGGTTTTAATGTGAAGATTGTTTTAAGTTCACTTAAATTAGACGTTGTTATTTTTAGTCTAATAAATGTTAAAATTGACACCTCTCAGTTATACTGTGATGTTGAATGGCTATAGTCAAATATTAAATATTAGGGGGAAAAAGAGCAATTTCCTAGAGGCATTAGTAGCATTGGTATCAGTGATACTCGCCTTTAGTCATAAAAAGATGCCATTAAACAAACATAAAAAAATATACTGTCTTTATTTTGTTTCTACATTAATTTGAAGACTGAATGTTAAATTATTGCAATATAAAAGTATATTTAAAAACTTTAATGTTAGGTGGGGTTAATCGTGATTAATCGCGATTAATTTCAGAAAAAAATATGCGATTAGTTATTTTTGTTAATAAAATTTTAAGGAGAAAAAAAAAAAGTACCTCATTTTGTTTGGAAAAAAATAACCTTACAGACCCCCCAAATTTTTTATTTATTTATACATACATATTTTTGAAAAACAAAACCATAAATTACCTGCACGGAGACTAGGTTTGATCCAGCAGCGTTGGGAAAAGCGATCCAGTCTGGCACGTTCATACTGTTGTCACTGTTGGCCCGCAAGAAGGGATGAGGATGGGGCAATCCAAGAGTACGAGAACTCTCCCTCCTCTGGGGGGCATACTTTGGAGACTCCAAAAAGGGAACTGACATCAAATCAGGAGAGAAACAGTCATATAGAGAGAGAGAACAGATGCCAAGACAGACATAAGTATGCTCCAATTGCCCAATAATGTCCTGCAAAATGCACTTCACAGGATATTCGGTGTACAATCGTACACTGCATGGGTGGTCTGTATTCGATGATGTTGCAAAGCATTACAAATGAAGTGAACTTCAACAGATCCCCTGCTGAGTGTGTAGGGAGCAGTGAACACTGCTTAGGAACTGTGTGAATGGCAAAGCAGCTAAAGAGAGACGAAAGTATCAAGCTCCAAATGTCACACAGTTTGAAGAGCAAATAAATTATCACACACAGAATAAAAATACCGGCACAACCAAAATAAATCTCCGCTCCTTACCTACGTCTGATTCACGGTGGTTTTTAATGATTTCTCCCAGCTCAAAATGGCCAGACATCACAGCCACCTAGAAAAGAAGTTCACACACGAGTAATATTTGCATCTGTGAATGACGCACAGTGACGCAAGGCTTGGGAATAACACAATATTAAACACACACGCATTAACTTCCCTTCATATTAAACACAAACGCACGATCACAGTCACAGCTGGCTCTGTGGAGATGGCTGAGGTTAAGTAAAACTCTTTCGGCTCGCTGCAGCTTCACTCCACCTGAGACTCGCAATGCATGCAAAAACGATACAAGCTACGAAACAGCAAGTGAAATGTGCCATTTCTGTGCCACTAGCATCAACCGATTTAAGTGCAAAAATAACAAAAAATGTGTTTACAAGCACAACAAAACACTGATAACTATCAAAAATCATGTCATTTGGGAAAATATATTTTTTTTAAAAATTCAAGTTTTGACATTAAACAGACACATGCAATAAATAAGTCAGCAGAATCAAGATGTTTACATAATTTTAGACATTATTATTATTATTATACTAACTTATAGTTATCTCTGCATATTAAACTGGGATGGGAGGAAGCATTTTAACATCCAAAAACATTCTTTACCTAGAAGTTAACTTTACCAACATACACAAGGTTGAAAGAGGGTTTGTAGAATATAGCTTTCTTAAATTTTTTTTTTGTTTACCTTTATTTAACCAGGAAATTAAAAACTCTTGAGATTTAAAATCTCATTTACAAGAGGGTCCTGGCCAAGATAGGCAGCACATTTAGTTAGACATAAAACAAAATGCATTCGTTTACATACACAAAACATACACAAATCACTCAAAACATTTACAATCAGGTGACTCTACAAATAGATCCTTTAAAATACATTTAAAATCATTTAGTGATACCAGCTCTTTTAAGCATAACTTATCTTGTAGTCGATTCCAATCAAATGGAGCAGCATAACTAAATGCC